ACAGAGGCATGGCGCGACCCTCGGCCCCCTCTGGTCAGCTGTCAGAGTCAGCCAGGCCCTCCAAGCACAGGGAGCACCCGTCCAAGTCACCAAGGAGACGGCGGAAGGGGACGAGGTCGCAGCGGCGGGGGGATGGTCACGAACAGCTGCTGTGGGAGATCGAGCGGCGGAGGTTGCCAGGCCAACACGAGCACTTGGAGCCCTCTGGCTCAGCGAGCGACACAGCGGAAAGCTCTCCTAAGAGGTTTGCACTGCAGGTTGCCAGCTGGTCCACCGTGCCACTGGCACAACTCTGTTGCCACGGACATGAGGTGATAGGGTCTTGACTTTTTTTTTTTCCCCTCCTCACAGGAGAGCCCACTTTCTACATGGACCGTATCCAGCCACTCACTTCGGACCCAAAGCCTGTATTCTTCCCAACCCAACTTCAGTCATGTAAGCATGAGGGTGCTGATTGAATCGAACTTTGTGTGTACAAACTGTTTGCAGGGGACGTTGACCCAGAACGTTCTGTGTAACCGTCTGAGATAAGATAAAATGAGAATGCTGTGATTGGATGTTACATGAAACGGGATGGCTAACAGAGCAGACTGCAGATGCTTATTGTCACCTGGTCTTAGGAGGGGATTTGATCAGAACATAGATCACACACACACACACACACATACAACATTTTTGACAAAATGCCTGTTATCCGCCGCGCAAAGGAGGACAGAGACAAATGGTAAAGAGGGGATAGAAAGTTTTTTTATATTCTGATGTTTGGAATTTGGACCTCAGTCCTTCAGGTGTTTCATCAACGTGTCATAACAGTTAATGAATGACTGCAACTGTTAAATAAACAGCGTATATTTCTACTTTATTAGGATGTAAGACATGGTTTTAGGGTAACAAGATATTGTACATAATGTCCTCCTTCTGTGACATATTATTGACAGACATTGATGGTGTGTGTGTGTGTAAAATATGTGTGTTTGTGTGTTTGTTTCCGTGTCCCAGGCACATCCAGGACCCAGCCAGCCAGCGGCTCACCTGGAACAAACCTCCTGTCAACGTGCTTGTCATCAGGAAAATTAGAGATGAGAGCCTCGTCGAGCCTTTCAAAGAGCTCTGCAGGTTTCTAGTGGAGGTAAATGATCACAGGATTTCATACGTTATACGTTTATGATGTATGATTTTATAAGATGGATGGATGTTTGTGATTGAGGAGGCAGACTTTGGTATCTGAAACAATGCAGAAAACTGATTCAGATTCATTCAGATGTCTTGAGACGCTCTTGATTTTGGGTATTTACGCTTTACTTACGACACATCATTTTCAATTTCCACTTAACAACAGACCCAATCCTTAATTTTTGTATCATATAAATCTGAGTTCTGTTCACATACAGTATACAATTGAAGTTTCAGTTAGAGAGAAATGAAATGTCGTCAGGAGTTGTGGTTTCACAACTTTAAAAGTTTCCTTTAAAAAATATGCTTTAGATTCTATTAAAAAGTCTTAAATTATACAAAACTTAAAAAACGTAACTTTAACTGAACTCGAGACAGTAATGTTTGTTATAAGTATGTCTTTGTATCCGATTGCAGATGTCGGGAGAAATTATAAACTAAAAGCGGGATTGTTGTGATAGTTAATTGTTTACCATCAGACCTGTAGCTACGCTGTCACTACTGCTAGCAACAGTCGCTAAAGGAAGCTCATTGTCTCATAATGGGGAAGAGTCAGTTTGGACAAAAACTTAATGGAATTAATTTACTTTTTTATTAAATTTAAACAAAAAACACACAGTACCCCCCCATCCCAGACAGCCACACAACATAACCCAAAAAGGGGGAAAAAATATAATATAAATATAATTGGATAAAATTGGATTAAATATTGATAATAACAATTAAAGAAAAGCAAAAATAAATGTAAATATACATTTAAAAAATATGTTAATTAACCATATGGAATAAGGTAAAATATTGTTTCCAGTCCACTATATGTATGTGAGTTTTAGGGTAACCAGTCATCAGAAACCTTATCATGTAGTGTGTCCCATAAACGGGTTTATAAGACGGTTTTTCCACAATAAATAACGTAGAAAATGTGACCAAACATTCAGAAATAGGTCTTCTTCTCATTTTAAGACACCCTGAAATCTTTCATGACGGAAAATGTTAAAAATCTCTCTGCACTAAATGGTAACATTTGTTACCAGTTTGTGCAAGATGCACTTTTGGGCAGAATTAATCATTTTTAATTGGTCCAATCCGTCCATTTTCTGCTGCTTATCCAGGTCATGATAATTTAGTTAATTATATCATTGGTTATTATTGTTTACTGCTGGGAAGTACTGACAAAAATATGATTTTGATTATCCTAGGTCATATTTGATTATTTCCGTCATACTTGTATGACCGTGAAAAAGGTATCAAATTGTGTGGTACTAAAAAGTCTTACATTTAAAGATCCTGTCCAGATACATATTAAGACATAAATACAAATAGGGTGCTTGTAACAATAATCTGTGCCTGACATGTTTCTTCTGCAAAAATGTATAATTTTCACAATAAAATCCTTCAAAAAAGTCTATTCTCAGTGTATGTTCACTGGCGTGTATATCACACTAGTATAAGTTGCTAATTGGACTTAAGTCACTGCAGGCTGCACTCTTAATATTGTTTTACTGCATTAAACTCTCAATATCAAAATCTTTCTCAAAAATTATTTTAAAGACCAGTGTGTAGGATTCAGTGGCATCTAGTGTTGAAGTTGCAGATTCCAACCATTTGTAAATGGTTATATATAATATCTCAGTGCAGAAGACACAACGGTGGCTGTGAAACTCCCTTCAAAAGCTTTATCTTAGAGCCAGTGTTTGGTTTAGATTAGATTGTCTGTTTCATTGATTTCAGTTACAGTTTTGTCCTTGGCCGTTACATAAACCCAAGTTCCTGCTGAGATACATCGTTGTGTGTATAACATATTGAAGCAAAACCAAACTCCAGCGGCCTTGGTTGTGTGGTCACTAATAATAATCTACAATATAACAAAGGCTTGTTTCTGGGAAATGAGTCCTGTTTTTTGTCTAAAAAGAAAAATAATCTTCACAGTCATGTTTTGTATTAGAAAAGTAATCTTGTTTTAAGAAAATAAAAAAAATGTCTTTTATAAGATATTACAGCTAATACTAAACTAGATTTAACCAGTAATAAGTTACAACAAAGGTTTGTATAATATCCCAGCAGAGGAACAAGATTATTTTCCTTATTTTAAGAGTAAGAACTTGCAGAACTTTACAATTTAAGATAAAGTAGTCCCAGTGTGATGAAGCAGCTATTAAGTTTTTTCAGAATACATCTGGTCCCTTAATTTGCCTTAATTAAAGTCACTTAGTTTTATTTTGCTGTTTAAAGAATTATTCATCTTAAATTACAAATTCTTGTAATTCATTCTCATCTTAAATAACTGAGTTTTAATTGCTTTTAATAAACACAACTTGCTTACATTTTTTGGCATTTTTCTGGTTTTAAGGCCCATTACAGTCTTTCAGTGGCTGGATTTTTATGCTAGTTTTAAGAATTCTAGCCAACAAATATTGCCGTACCCCACTGGCAGATTGTTTTAGTCAATACAAGAACATTTGATTATATTTAAGAATATTTATCTATCTGGCTATCTAGCTCTATATTGTAGAACATTAAAGAACAGAGCTCACTGCACACTGAAACATTTGTGGTGTCGAGTCCAGGAAATGAAGCAGACATGCAGGTGAAAGTTACAGTCTGGTCTCCTTCAGTTACGACACATTTCATCAGCCACATGTTTCCCAAACAGGACGTACTTTGTGTAACAAGAACTCGTGTACTTGCATTCCACACAGACGCCGTCATATTAAACTACATGTGTTTGGCACATGCTCAGCTTCATTTTAGATGGAGTACTTTTTCGGAGATGTGTGTCTGTGTGTGTTTCGGCTGCTGTCACTAAAAGCGTGTCTCTGCGTCTCAGGAGAAGCAGATGATGGTGTACGTGGAGCGCAGGGTAGCGGACGATGCTACGCTGTCAAGGGACGAGGCGTTCGGCTCCATCCGCAATCAGCTCTGCACCTTCAGAGAGGGTGAGAGTCCTGCGTGTCCCACAATAAAGACACACTGTAATGCTAACTGCATCAGTTTCACAAGTTTAAAACAATTAATAATGTCCTTTTCTGAAATAAAAGTAATATTATGATGGAAAAAATACTTAATAACTAAAATGTTTTACTCAAGTGACAGTGAAGACCTTTCAGCTGTAAAAGGTATTTTTATGTTATGGTGTTTAATAGTGGTTCTACCGTTGAGTAGGTTAAACATCATCAACTGTCTTTAAACATGTAGAATCTTAATTAGATAAATAACCAGTAACAAAGCTGTCAAGATGAAGCTGTTGCCAAAGGTTCAGTATCTCTCCTCAGTTGAGTAAAACTGAGTCTCATAAAAGGAACAAAAGGAAACTTTGAAAAAACTAACTGGTAATTTCTACTTCTGCTGCTAAAATTTAGTTTAGATCACATTAATACTGTAGAAACTATTTAACCAGAACGTTTGGTTGTCCTTTGGTCTGGTAGTTAACCATAGTTGTCCAGTTTCAGTCTATTTCCAAGGGCACAAAGCTTTTTGTAATGCTATTAACTACTGGAGAGAGGACATTGTTATCGAGAACCATTCCTGTAGCTTCTTACTGTTATTTTTTGGATGTTGGATGGATTACTGGCAACGCTCATACGCTGACTGAAACCTTCAAAGATGGCCAAATGTTCAGAAACATAAAAAGTGTCCCTCTCTTTGTTCTTACATTCCTGAATGAAAATATATTTCATTTTGTTCCTGCTGTTAAAATGAAAACAATGAACTGAATGTAGCAGTGTTTTGCAGGTTATGACGATATCTCTGACTGCATAGACCTGATCATCTGTCTGGGTGGAGATGGGACTCTGCTCTACGCCTCCTCTCTCTTCCAGGTAATCACAGTTTTATTATCACTGTTTTTATTCATCTCAAATTAAAGAGAAATTACTAATACTGTGAAGTCTGTGATTAACATGGATGTTCTGATGTGGTATCGTTGTATTTTATCTTTACAAAGGTTTCCTTCTCTAGATTGACTTTCTTGTTTTTACCTATTTTCTATTTTTAAATGACTCATTGTAACCTTATTGTGATCACTGCAAAGAAAAAGTAGCAAAGACTTTTCAAGTTGGGAAATTCTGTGAAACTAATTTGAATATTTTGCCTTTTGAAGTTCCCACCTTATGTCACACAGTCAGATTGCTGAACAGCATTTCAAGATCAAACAAAACAAATGACATAAAAGAGCTGTGGCTGTTTCTTATTTTGGGAAAATAAATCAAATCAGAATTTTTGCCTGTTACTCTAAAATTAGTCCTGGTGTGTTAAGAAGCTTGTATCCTGAATATTTCACTCATAATAAGCTCTACAATATTTGTTACTATATGTGGTTCCTACTGTCCTGATTTTAATGTTTCTTTTCTGTAGGGCAGCGTCCCTCCAGTTATGGCGTTTCACCTCGGTTCTCTGGGTTTTCTGACGCCCTTCAAGTTTGAGTCGTACAAGACTGAAGTAGCCAAAGTGTTCGAAGGTAAAATGGAGTTTTATATGAAACATTGGTCTAATATTTACTGTTGTAGTCGTCTATATGTGAATGCGAACACCCTCTCTCCTCAGAAATAAATCTGTTAGTTGTTAGAATTTCTTAACACGTATCAGTACAATAAGTATATGAATGTTTGTGCTTATGTTTGCGTGCATGTCTGTATGTGGGCTTCCAGGCAATGCAGCCATCACTCTGCGCAGTCGTCTGAAGGTGAAGGTGGTGAAGGACATGCTTCAGAGAGCAGGCCAGCAGCCGTACGACCAGGAGACGCAGCAGCAGCAGCAGCAGCAGCAGGAACACAACGGACTCCCTCCTCAGGGACACACCAACAGCGAGGCTGGCAAGGTCACCCTGCAGCTACAGGTGAGGGCAAAGAGGCACGTGAAGAAGTGTCCACATGGGTGTATATGAGCTTAGGTGAGGTGATCAATGGCCAGGTGCCAGAGGAGTCCCTGCTCTGAGGCAGAACTCTCTGCTGGCCCAGAAATGATTGGGGCGTTTGCTGATGAAACTCTCGGCTGGTACAACTTGTGGCAATCTTTATTTACACAATAAATAAATATAAAAAGGACTTAGTCTCAGTGACGTCAACCGTAGGATCCTGAAGAGCCGTTGTGAAGCTCAAAGTGTGGTCCTGACTCCGCCGGCTCCCAGCTAGTCCAAAAATGGGCATAGAGGTGGAGCTGAGGCGGGCCGAATAAAGCC